TCAATAATCTCTAGCCAAATACTCATTGGCAGGGGACATAAAAACACCAAGATATTCTTGAGACTTCCTTGCAGTCTTGGAGAGAAAAAATATCAGACTTCAAAGTGATCAATATGAAGGCCCTGAAAAAGCGGGCCAACACCAAGAGATACCCGTTAACCTTCTTATGAACCGAAATTCAGATCTCGATAAAAATGTATTTGCCAGTCAGCAACCCCATTGCTGCATGTTGCCGGGAAGGGTTTGGTGTATTCTTTACAAAATATTTTCTATACCTTATCATGGCGTACAGCTGGACAGGGAGGCTACATTCACAATCTACCCAAATAAGATGTTTACCAACCCGCTTGTGAAACAAGGCTTTTGCAAATAATCATATCTAAACCGTCCTCTCAGGTCACACGTACATTGAAATGAAATTTCCCTACTGATAAAATTTTGAACCAAATTGAGTGATAAAGAAATTTATAGTCAAATTCAAAAGCTGAATTTAAATAAAACTGCCGAAAAAAACCTTGACAAAAATCTCTCCATATTGTATTATTTAATGATTACGCAAATCCACATTTTAAAATACAAAAGCTTTTAATTTTAAAAAATTGTGAAAAAAGTATCGCTAAGGCTCATACGAAATCTCTGCTGATATACAGGGATTATGGTATTGGCAAATTATGATAAAACTTCAAAAGGCGGTGGGTTAAAGTAAAATATTTCATAACTATTCCTCCTAGTAGCAAGGGGAAGTATTCCCCGAGTGGTTTACTCAACACCATGTTTATTTTTACACCAACCTTAGAACCATATCTATCCTTAATTTGGGGATTTAGGTCCGGACAGAATAATCCCCCTTTAAACCCACCCAAATCCCATACACAAAGATATTTTCAAATGGGGGTTTGGTGGTTCCTTAAAATGCATTTTATTTCCCTCCTCACAACTCAAAACTTCAGAGCCTTGAGGTTTATTGGAAATCGGTCTAAGGAGTCCTGGATTCTCTGTGCTTTTTTGAGGGTCAACAACATTCTGAAAAGGCCTTTTTCAGTTTCTTTTGATTATTTTTTTTACCAATTTCAAAAATAGATTTTTATCTTGATTGAGATTTTGTAATTTTTTCAAGAAGAGAGCAAAAGCATGAGATTTCAACTTGGGAGGTATCAAAAATGTTATCAGAGGCCCAGCTTTATTCCTCCATAATAATTGAAAGCACTGCAAAGAGAATCCTGAATTATGCTATTAAAATTTGGCAAAAGTAGAGAATAAGTACTTTATAATCAAAATAACTCCATTATTCCAAAGTGTTCAAAAGCACTTGAGGAAATGACAATTTTTTTAACTTTCAAGGTTGGCTCATTCAACACACAATGAGTTTAAAGTTCATCTCAATAGTTTTGTAATAAAATGCTTAATTACGGTAAAACTATGATCAACACCCGATCATCGCATGGCCATTTTTTTGGGTGAATTTGAAACCTTAATGTTATGATGGTTTCGTTTACACAAGTAAAGAATGGAAGGTAAATATTCGCAGCCGATCAGATAAAATACACTTTGCAGTAGATTTGATTCAAACAAAGAATCGGCACATAATGAGTGGCCTGGTGGGATGGGCCGTGTCACCAATCCAGCGGGTCTCCAATTTATGAACCTTTTCATAACACAGTCTTCTTAATCATACAACATCTAATAACTGTACACCCAACTATTCAACCAACAGTAGACTGAATGAGCAACAATTGACCTGAATCATACAAGATTATACCACCTGAACGCTCATTTATTCTTTGCTATCATAATTATCCCTTTAAATAATCACAGATTTCTTGTATTATAATAGACTAACCAGTGATATCCTTTAAACAGCTCAAAATCCAACACAAACATTCTTTTAAAAACCTGTCTTTCATTTTTTAACAACATTTGGTTAAAATCTTGAAGTTTTGTTCTCCTCCATGTTACATACGATAGGCCAGGAGGAAAGAGAAATTCTGTCTACTTGATTCTTAAGAATGCATTATTATAATGATGATTTTTTTTTCTCTCTAAATTTGGTTATTGGTTCAGATACCATTCCTAATGCAGTCTTGTAGCTATACATTTCCGCTGAACCATTCCAATTTTTATAGATTTTACATTTATACACAAAGCAGAATTGCTTTCCAACTGAACAAGACATTGCAAAGGCATAAGGACCGCACTATAGATGGCAGAAATATCTGGTCTAGCGGAAAACATTCCCAGCTAACACAATCACTAGCAGCTCGCAGACCCCCGCAATCATTAGAAAAGTGTGTATTGGATTCAGAACTTAACTGATGGTGGAAAATCTGTATCACAATAGCCTTCTCTCTTTGCACTGGTGCAAAAATTAGCCTCCACTGTTCTATTTATAAAATGATTGATGCAAAAATAGCTTTCAACTCAAAAATTAACAAACAGAAGGAAAACACTTAACAATTAAGCAATGTAAAATTAAAATGAAGCACTCTTTTATTATTTTCTTTGTAACTTTGAAAGACCATGTGACTGCACAAGTCTCACATCATCAAGTTCAATAAATCTCATCAAACAGAATAACGAAATGGAAAGGAGAAAATTTAATTACTAAGGTCTAATGAAATCTAGATGAAAATCACACTCCTATTTAAAAATGGACATCAAGCGAAAAACCCAGGCTACTTAGCATATTCAACAATAGCTCTGAATGATGAAAATCACAATGCATTTCTTCACAGTTTCTGATCAAGGACTAAACTTGACAAAAAAAACGGTAACATTTCTCTTTCCTCTTCCCCAGTAGCTGGTGCAATTTATTTATTTTTCAAACAATTTAACTTCAACGAAGACAATAACCTTCAAGAAAATTCAGAAAACTAAATAAAATAGCATACCAATTTAAAAAAAAAATCAAACAAAGGTGAGTCTAAATACCCCGTTAGATTGGGTAGATTGTTTTAAAAAAACAAAATAAGGTGAGTCTAAATACCCCATCAGATTAGGTATATTGTCGGTTGAGGAGGCAAGGGAAATTTCTGAGGAGTCTCAATCCTTCAACTGGATACTTAGAGTAATTTAACATGAAAGGAGCTGTTTTAGTTCCTTTTCAGTAAATGTTCACCTCTGAGTAAACTCTTGTCAGGAGAAAAGTTCCTCTTTGTGTACCTAAAACACCTGTCCTGTAAACATTCATGTATCCAATGGAAAAAAAAAGTCAGACAAGAGCAGCATCTATTAAGTATATATGCTGATTCTACTACGCTCTTTAAAGGGGGGGGGGGGGGTGTCAAATCAACATCTGCTGGCCTTCTCTAATAGGGAAGAAAAACTTCATTTCATGTATGAATTGTGGATGAATATCAGGTTCAACTTGTGTCAAAGGTAAAGTGGCCATTTGTCTTGACTAAAATCTCTATCTCACCTAATTCTAACTTAACTCAACTTCAAAAGAGCTTCAATTAGTTTTCTCAGCACTGATCAGATGCGAAGCTGGTAGATGTTTTTGGGGAGTTATTTGTCATGATTTGATAATGAGCAATCAAAAGTAGACTTGATGCCCCATGGCCCAGCATAGGCATCCCCACCACTGATTTCTATGTATTACAGCCATTAAAATGTGTGTGATATCATACCCTAATCATAATAACTATTATGGAGCCTCCAGCGTGATTAGCAAGGTTTGCCAGCATTCCCATTTTTCATCTTTAATCCCAAAGAAGATAGGAGCTATCAAGTCAAGATTTGAAAAGATGTGGTTCCTATTACATCGCCAACCTACCACCCAAGTACCTAACATTTCACATTTATTAAACACCAATTTTCTCTGTAGAACCCTCAAACAAAATTCTGCTATCTTCCTACTCAACCTCTCTCTGTGTCTTTGGAGATCACCTCTTGAAGCATCGTGGGGCTTCCCTTTAGAAACCCTCTTAATTCAGAGTCTTTAGCACCGAAAATTGCTGAAAGCTGGAAATGTATTTTATATTGATATCTTATAGTGGTGTTTGATATTGTCAGCACAAGTTTCTTTGATTACTTTTATTCCCAAATTCTTCACTTTGCAAACACTCTAGGCATGGCATTTAGGAAATTTCAAGAAGTATTTAATAGCTAACTGACTTGCACCAAAAGTCTCCAGATTTTACAACTTTTCTGCAGTGAATGGTCTCTCTTGCATCTAGAGAAAACAGCTGCAACTAACTTTTGACTCTAATGGACTCTTCTCCCGATAATGTCATTATAACTCAGCATATTGTAATCATAAAATTCTGGTACTCACTATAATAACACTACTCTGAATTTAACGAGCATTTAAATGTTCAGTCAAAATATTGAGTAAACAGAAAATCAGCTGACTTCTCTGGGGCTGTGTAACCTTCCTATATTAGGAGTTGCTGTCGCAGAGTGAACAACCTTTCAGATTCTCATAAAAAGAACATGAATTACCAGTTTAAATAGTTTATAAATAAAATACTGAAATCAGAATCTCCTTTTAAATCTAGAGTTCAAACATGACAGTCCAGTCTTCTATAAACAACACTGACACAACTTTTTTTAGGAAAAGTGGCAAAAAGATGGACAGTTTTTAAGCAATCAACATGTCTATCCCTGAGAGCCTGCACATACAACCTATATACACTAATAAAATCCATTTTATCTACATATCTCTAATGGCTGTAAGCTTTAGATTGACTTGTAAACATACAACACCTACACTCTTCAACTATTTCTGACCTGATCACCAGTATACAGCCTAGCCAACCCAAGACAACCTACACATCAATTTCTGTAGGGCATTGACTGAACAGATACACATGCATGTGTAAACCAGCCAGAATGTTAGTGCAAAGGGACATTTAGGGCATTCTAATACAGGCAAAACACACCCAAAATCTATGAAACAAAATAATGTTGTGTATGTCTGAACCAGTAAAATAAGCATGTGAGGGCACCTGCTGACATCAGCATAACGTACCACTGTATGCAGTATTGACAGCATAACTTACCTGATTCACTGATGTTGTCTGCATTGTGAGATGAATTTGATGTTGCATTTGATTGACTAGGTGTAATGGGTGTGTCCCCAGACCGCGAGGACTGGGTGTCTTCCTGTGGCCCAAAGGTCAGGCTCTGGGAGGGAGGACGCTGAAAAAATGTCAAAGGTTAAATGTACAACTCATTCTATGATCTATATAGTAATTCATATGCTTTGTACAGACAACAGTATACAATCAATGTATACAAAATATTGCATTCACTTTTCCAAATGAAGATGAAAACATTTCTTGACTTAAAAAAATAAATGGATATATATTTTATGTGGATTTTCAACAAATACAAGTTTTAGTAACTGTAGTAACATGTAGATTTTACAATTTTTTTTTTTTAAGAAAACATGTTAACCACCTAATTTCTGAACTGCAATCATCTATACTAATCAAACCTGCTGTACATCATCACTATGATAATACTTTGATGACTAGTTTATCAAATCTAGTTCTTATCTTATAAATTGATTTTTCTGCATTTTTAAATTTTTTTTTTTAGTGTGCAATATGCAACATAACGCACTTCACATCTTTCAAAATTATGGCAACATAAGGCACATGTTCAATTTAGACAGGTGTTCCGTTATTTAATTGTCACCACCAACTCAGAATTTCACACATTCAGTGCATCGAGGTGAGGAAACATGGACGGGTATTTTTCAATGAAACTGCGACTCATCATGAATTTTTTACATTGCAGTAACACTGTAGCTAATTATGCATGGCGATCCACTGATAACATTTTCAATAGTTAATGATCATCCATGACGAGTCAGAATTAGGCAGAAAAAAAATATATTGTGAGCACTTTTATAATACTATTGTCCATTTCTACACAAAGTTTCTCAGAATATTTATCAATAATTTTGCATAGAAATAACTATTTTACATAATAATTATTGCAAAATTTATTATTTCATGGACACTCCACTGGATCAATGCCACATAACAGTCGATGATGATGTGTAAATTTTATTATAATTGTTTAAATATTCTAGTAATTTAAGTTATTGCTTGAGAATATTCATTCAAATTAACAAATTACATAAATGAATACTAATCTAAATAAACCATCTGTAAGATTATTTTTTATTTAATATATAAGAATAGTTTTTGATGTCCAAATCAATCCATTTTTTGAACGCATGACCAAAGAAATTAGTAAATTTGAGGATGGTGACGATTTTCATACTTTCATCTTCTGAATGAATCAGGAAGTACTTTTATCTAACAGCACATTCAGTATGAAACAATTACAAACAATAATGTATGGTACCTTACAATTCCATTCTCATCGCAGGTTACTGTGTCACCTTAAGAAGAAGCAAAACTTTTGACACACTTGGTTATTTAATGTAATGGATACTACTTTAAAAGTTCACATGGCAGTTGTCTCTTTTGACTGTCAAAAGGTAGGCTTGTCAACAAGTTAAGACTTCGACTGACTTGGTTAAAGTGTTCATACATTGAAGGAAATGACTTGGAAATCTGCCTTTCACAGTTGATTTATTTGAAAGAAAATGTATTCTGCTGTAACCAATACCTTAAACTAGGAGAGAGGGACATTAAATGTTTTAAAACACACAGGTCAATCCATAGAAAACTTCTCCACATAAAAACCTTTGTTTACATGACACTGCAGATTGGTTTATAGATTAAGAATTAGTGGTCTGTAAATATTAGACCATTATCTTCTGTTGCACTTACAAGCACTTCTTTTAAAGATTACGTTACATATTATTGAAATACTGAAATGCCTAGCATTTTATCTGAGAAGTACTGTAATACTTTTATAATGTTCCACATCAAAATCCCTCTCAGGTCTGGGTTCAAAAAACACTTAAGGATATCTTATTTTTGTGACAGAAGCAGGCAAAAAAAAAAAAAAAATGATGTCTGACTACAGAATTGATTATTTTTGCTTTGTCTTCCAGTATGAAAAAGGAAATGCAGGACAAGAAACTGGCAAAAGAATGTCATCAATAATTAACGATTAATGTCAATAAAATGAGAAAACAGTGATATTAAGTCAGATAGTCTCACTGCTTAAAATCTCCACTTTCTGTCATAACTCAGAAGAAATAGATAATGCAGAGCATAGCTAGATAAAGATAACACATTACAGGGACAAAAAAAATCCCCCCCGAGGGATCACTTACTTTTCATAACTTACTATCTCAGAGTACCCCAATATGTATAACCACATAATGCAATAGCTCAGATTAACTGGTTAAAAAATCAGGAGCCATACAACACTGTGATATTTATAGAGGCAGGTGGACATGCTAATATAGTGATGATTTTCTGATGGTGTGGATTTACTGCTGATGATATGAAAAATGTTCACCTTGAAATAAGAGATTTTCTATGACAGCCACCCAGTGACATCAATGGAGGCAAACTTTTTAAAGTCCCGGGTGATAGATTTTGGCTGATTATTATCTGACGCATACCTGTCTGTTTATGTCACATGGCTTTACCCTAGCATTGTCTGCTTGATTAGGCAAACAACTATATGTCTAAAACACTGTGACTCTAGATGGGCCGATATCCTTCTTCTGTCATCATATCAAGATTGGCAAAAAGACAAATATATCAAGCAAAAGATCCCCCAGATTATCATCTTAACAATTCCTTCTTATTGTTTTACAGTACTTCTCATTATCTTTTGATATCTTTTTTTATAGGGAGATGAATATCACTAATCTTTGCTTATCATCCTCAAACATATTCAAGTAATTCATGCTGTAAGCATAATTTCGTCAAAGGACTCAACCTTATCTACAATAATATTTAAAACTGTATAATGTATCCATTGAGATGAGTCGACTAATAGATAAACCCCTGTATACATAACCCCATTTTTTCGTCCTTAAAAAAAGGAGCTGTCTGAAATACAAAACGTCAAAATATAAATGTTCGATGTTTCATAGGGGAAAATTTATGATTATCACAGCTAAAAGTGATATTAAAACCCTGTTTCTCTCATCAGAAAGTGGGGAATGAGCCGGCGGGGATTCTCTGTAGAGGAAATATTGACAGAAGAATGCCCTGGACAATAGTTTTATCAATACATGTAGAAAATCTGGCCATCCTGCTGAATGGCGGAATGCTCAGACGGTTCGTTGTCCTTTTCTACCTCCATAGAGTGGAGATTCTTGCAGGGGGAATAACTCTAATCACACTACAAACATCTGTTTTGCGATCAAATAAAATAAATATATTTTTAAGTTTAATAATCATTGATACATAATTTGGGACTTTATTACTCAATCATCACCTGATCAGTATGGGAGAAAGTATGGAAAAGTGGGTGGAAAAAAAATTGAAAACGGATATGGATGGGAACTAACGCCTACTTAGTATTGGCTTAATTTTTTGGAGTATACATAGCTATTGACACTTTGTATCGTGTACAGTACTTAATTATCTCACCCAGTGTTCTTGTTGATTTTTGGTTATTTCTTCCCTTTTCCAATAATGGCATTAAAGTTTTATTTTGTAAATTGTGAAAACGATCAGGAAAAAGGATCATACACTCCACAAAAAAGACTGCTTGAACTTCCCTATTATATTTAAATAAACATTATACAACTGTAAGAAAATCAATAAAACACGCACATTATTCTGTGCTAGGCTGCGAATTCCTGGGAAAAATCTAGTGGTCGATGGCCAATAGTCCTCTCCAAAATTAACTTGACCTTACTCCGTTCCAGGGTTATTCAATTTTGCAGGGGGTTAGGAAGCGACACTATACGTTGATGACGCAGTGACTGGCCAATTCTTAGTAATTCGATACAATACTTTCAAGGCGATGATTATTTTATAACAATTAATAATCTGGGTTTTAGAAACACAAAAATACAATTACTAAATATTTCATGTACATCATCTGCCTCTGTTGAAACAAATGTTTATTTTAGAAGCCTTGACATGTTACTACATTTATTGCAACGGCTTCCAAGCATAGACATAAAACCAACTATTCAGGAAAATAATAAAGCTCACTTTATAGCATCCATAACATACATTTTCCTATCATATACCAATAGTTATTGCACCATACAGAGCTGTACAGTGTGGAGGGGAAACGATGCACACTTACATACTGCAATCACAACATTAGCTTCTCTCTATTTTCCCCATGGCCCAGTCTGGGTTTGTAGAAGTCCTGCTAAGACTCACAAAGCATATCTTTCTACTTAGCAAATGACCTTCTGTCTCGCTTGTCTGTGGCGGATGCTTTTTTGCGTTTGTTAGTAACACCGTTTCATGCCTTGCACGTCCAGCTGCGAGTCGTAAACACGTGTGATCACAGGCGAAGAGGTGAGAATGGCGGAGTCTTTTTTTTTCTCTTTACAACATCGGCTTCTGCCTTGAACGTTTTCAAAAAGATAAATACGACCATAAAAAAATCTTGTTATACCTTTTCGTGTTTGTGTGAAAACTAATAAGAAAACTAAAATAGTATAATTATTAATCCGGTGTATCATTTAAATTCTGATGGAAAAAAACTTTATTTCGTGATTATGATATCCCATTATTTTGTTCGGACTGAGATTTGGGTTTGTTTTTTTTAAGGTTCCTCCTTTTTGATATTTAACTATCTACCTTATTCATCAATCACATTGGATTTAAATTTAAACATTTTTAAAACTGCAATCTACTATAAAATATTGATAATTTCAACAATTTACAAAAACAAAGAAAAAAGTAATGATATTTGGGTTTGTTTTTTTTTTTAAGGTTCCTCCTTTTTGACATTTAACTATCTACCTTATTCATCAATCACATTGGATTTAAATTTAAACATTTTTAAAACTGCAATCTACTATAAAATATTGATAATTTCAACAATTTACAAGAACAAAGAAAAAAGTAATGGAACATTGAAATTGAAATAATTTTGTTATCTTAATTAAAATGAAATAATTTACATCAACAATATTAACTGTTTCATGCATAACACAAATTAAGCAGGTCTTGCAAGGTAATGATCTGTTGTTGTTTTTTTAAAGAAGGTATTAATCAAAACATTGCTTAATGTTCGAAATAATATGTTGAAGAAATTCTTATCTTTGTAAAGTGATTTCTCGCGACAATTTCAGTGTATGTAAATTTTCTAATCCTACTTCTTTATTTACAAGAAAATAAACGATCAACAGTTTTCTTTACTGAACAATACTATTCTTTCCATAAATTCTTTTTTTTTTGTTTTGAATTTTCCTCCTTTTTTTTATTTACATATTTTATTTAACACTATCGACAAATATTTGGGACTAGCACGTTCCGTAATCTGACAAGAGATAACTCCCAACAGCATTGATCGACTAGAGTCTTCTCACAACCTATATATCTGTTTATTTTAACATTTCTGATGTTTTGAATATTCGCATGCATATTATTATTATCACAGACAAAAATCAACATATAGCTGGGTGTTTTCTCTTCTTTTTCTATGTTCATTGGCAGAATCTCTTTCCACGGCAGTAAAACACGTTCATTACGCAGAAAAAAAACCTTAGTCTTATCTAAATCATTGACATTCGTTTAGTGCATATTAAATATGAACACCCTATGACGTAATTATTCAACATTGTTCAAGACAAGAAAAAATCAGAGCTAAGTTGGTCTATTTACGTACATAGTTCTTCGAGTGTGATAGCCCCATTAACAAATATTTGGGTTTTCGCGACGTTTCTTGGAATTTTACTATTTTCTATTATGAGCGTTCTATGCAGGGAATATATATATATATATATATATATATATATATATATATATATATATATATATATATATATATATATATATATATATATATATATATATATATTACATTATATTATATTATATTATATTATATTATATTATATTATATTATATTATATTATATTATATTATATTATATTATATTATATTTTTGCAGTGAAAAATAACGCTTTGTATTAGTAAACTGATCCATAACCCACCTACCCACCCCCTTTGTAATCTGATCGGAATCACTCTCAAGATAAGATTAATTGTAAAAGAAAGAAAGTTTACTCGCTTCTTTTGTTAGTAAGCAGGAAAAAATATTAAAAATATATCCGTAAGTAATTAAAGAAACAACATGATTCCCGGAGGAGTTGGATGAACAACACGTGTTTCCTCTAACAATATTTCATCATTTTCTATATTTATATGTACCTTTATTGTAAGAATACTGATCATACTATTGGAAACATATTCTGGGTCAAGGTTCCTATAAGGTCAAAGTCTATGCCATTTTTCTTAAATATTATAAATTTCTGTCAACGTCTTTCCATGCAAATAACCATCAAGGCCTTAACTTAAAAGTAACATTGCAAATTTAATTTGATTAGGACTAAAACGTTACACTAATTTAAGCGACATACATTGTAATCGTGTTAGATAAATTATAAATCAAAGATTAAATACGATTTTTATCATGGATTGCCGAGATTTAAATTAATCATGGGTCAATTAAAAAGAAATTATTTGTCCTTATATTAATGACAATCGAATATCTGATAGTATAAATTAATTCGAATTTTTAAAATACTTGTTTGTTTTTAATGTCATTGTTTGTTTTATTTTGTTGAAAGAAATAAATTGATTGATTCCTCTTTGAAAATCTGTACCCAAAATTATAATAATTTTCAGAAAATATTTTATAACTTTATTTCCATAGATCGTTTTCAGACCTCCCCCCCCCCAACCCCAATCCCCTGAAAAAAAAAAACCTTAGAACGTGTACAAAATTTTATGTAATAAATATGTATTTTCAATAAACCTCAACAAGAAATTTATAAAACAGTAGCTTTTTAATACATTGTTTATTTTATAATGAAATTATGCTGAAATATATAATGTATAGATTTTACAATGCGCGTTGGTTTCGACCAAAATCTTGTAGCAATAATCTCTCTCTCTCTCTCTATCTCTCTCTCTCTCTCTCAGCAACAAATTATGGCACATCTCCGATGAAGTACTTTGGTACATGCAGTTTACCAACAATATAAACGAAATAAAAAATATTTGGACCTCTAACGGATCACACATTTCAAAGACAAATGAGAAAAAATATGATAGCACACAAAATATATAAGTAAGCTAAATATATTGGGATTCAGCACTTTATATATGTAAAAATCAAACCCTGACTGCCTGCTTTGGAGATTTTTAGGAGAAAAAAAGTAGAAATTCAGATTTTTGTTATTGTGGAAGAATTCCTTAATATTAACAAAATGTAAGTGTGTCAAACATCACATAGAGTAAGAGGACCAAAATCCAACAAACTGATACAGCTAATATATGAGAACACTTTGGGGACTGAATTCTATAAAAAAAAAAATCAACACAGAAATATTGCTGTATTTAGCACGCATTAATAAAATAATTTGACTAGAGAAATCTACAGGAAAACATTACTATAAAAACAATTAAATTGAATTACTTGATTCCCCCATCAAGAACAACAAGGACAAAAATATAACTACATGAAATAAAATAGTCAGCATAGAGTATACAGTGTTCCCTTGTACCAACAAAAGAAAAAACATTAAGAAAAATATATAGAACTCTAATATAGTAAACAAAGACCGCATGACATACTCTAGTTGTAAATAGGCACCCCTTTTCCGAAAATGCACTTTGAAAAATGACATGAAAATTAACGATATTTTTCTGTAATATATAGGAGATTTAAAGAAATGAAATCTGCTATTCAGTTTCAAAATTAACCCCCATCCCATCCCCAAAAATCCTAATAATGATAATATTGAAAAAGGCATACGAAAACAACCTAATTCCAACCATACGTTTTTGAAGTTCATTACAAGATTCTTTAGTCGAACTGCGTTTTAACTCATTTTGTATTTTTTTTTAAATTTAATTTATTAACTCTCAGTCTTGTACTATTGAAATCTATTGATATACACAAATCTAAATATACATTTTTTTCGTATCACAGACGAACTCGGTGATATTTTTCTTGTCAAAATAGGGTATATTTTTAATTTCGCACAAACTAGAGGGAAATGAGACAAAAAATTCAATTATACTTTTTTTCTGTAGAAAAAAAATATTATTCGCCTCTCAT